CAGCTTTATGACTAGGGTCTCCATGCTCTCACTATGTCAGGTCAACTGTTTCTGTCGGTTTCTCTAGCACCATCTTGGCTCCTTTGCTCATCCCTCCTCCCTCTCCACAACTGGATTCCAGGAGTAGGGTCCAGTGCTTAGCTGTGGGTGCCTGTTTCTGATTCTATCAGCTAATGGATGAAGGCTCTAGGAATGGTAACCAAGGTAGATATCAATCTCATTATAGGGGAAGGGCATCAATGGTATCCTCTCAACCACTGCCTAGATTCTTAGTTGGCATTATCCCTGTGAATCCCTTAACATTTTCCCTGTGCCAGACCTCTCTCCAAACCTGTACTGTCTCCCTCTATCAAGGCATCTCCTTTCTTGCCCTCCTCTATTCCTCCCATTCTCAGTCCTCTTGTTCTCCTCTCCCTACCCCTTCTCCCTTCCCACCTCCTTCCTCTCCCCACCATGCTCCCACTTTGCTCAGGGGTTCTTGTCCCTCTCCCCTTCTTTGAGGGACTATGCAATCTTCTCTTGGTGTTCTCCTTGTTTCCTAGCTCCTCTGGCAGTGTGGATTGTAGATTGGTAATCCTTTGTTCTATGTCTAAAAATCATATATGAGTGAGTAAATACCATGTTTATCGTTTTGTGACTGGGTTACCTCAGTCAGGATGGTTTCTTCTAGTTCCATCCATTTGCCTGCGAATTTCAAGATTCCATTGCTTTTTTCCGCTGAGTAGTACTCCATTGTGTAAACATACCGCCACATTTTCTTTATCCATTATTTGATTGAGGGGCATCTAGTTTGTTTCCAGGTTCAGGCTATTGCAAATAATGCTGCAATGAACATAGTACTCTTATGGTATAATTGAGTAACCTTTGGGTATGTGCCCAAAAGTAGAAATGCTGAGTATTGAGGTAGACTGATTCCCATTTTCCTGAGAAACTGCCATACTGATTTCAAAGCGGTTCTAAGTTTGCACTCCCACCAGCGGAGGAGTGTTCCTCTTTCTCCACATCCTCTCCAGCATAGACTGTCATTGGTGTTACTGATTTTAGCCATTCTGACAGGAGTAAGATGGTATCTCAGAGTGGTTTTGAGCTGCATTTCCCTGATGGCTAAGGATGTTGAGCACTTTCTCAAGTGTCTTTCAGCCATTTTAAATTCCTCTCTTGAGAATTCTCTATTTAGTTCTGCACCCCATTTTTTAATTGGATTGTTTGGTGTTATGGAGAATAGCTTCTTGAGTTCATTGTATATTTTGGTGATCAGCCCTCTGTCAGATGTGGGGTTGGCGAATATCTTTTCCCATTCTGTGGGCTGGTGTTTTGTCGTGCTGACTATGTCCTTTGCCTTACAGAAGCTTCTCAGTTTCAGGAGGTCCCATTTATTAATTGTCTATCTCAATGTTTGTGCTACTGGTGTTATGTTCAGAAAGCGGTATCCTATACCAATTTGTTCAAGGGTACAACCTACCTTCTCTTCTAGGAGGTTCAGTGTGGCTGGATTTCTGTTGGGAAATGATATGTATCTATCTGCAATCTTCTACATGTCCAAATCCAGTTATGCCAACACCATTTGCTGAAGATGCTTTCTTCCTTCCATTGTATAATTTTTAGCTTCTCTGTCAAAAATCAGGTGTTCATAGGTGTGTGGGTTAATATCAGGGTTTTCAATTCAATTCCATTGGTCAACCTGTCTATTTTTGTGCCAATATCAAGCTGTTTTCAGGACTATGGCTCTATAATAAAGCTTGAAGTCAGGGATGGTGATGCCTCAAAGTTCCTTTATTATACAGGGTTGTTTTGGCTATCCTGGGTTCTCAAAAGCAATCTACAGATTCAATGCAATTCCCATCAACATCCCAACACAATTCTTGACATACCTTGAAAGAACAGTACTCAACTTCATATGGAAAAACAAATTAAAATAATGTTTAAAAGGTGTTATAAACATGCAAAAACTGATTGAAACATAAGACATAAGGGTGGGGTGCTCTGTTTTGGGACTCCAAAAGGCTACAGTATTGACCTCAATCTCCTAACATCCTCATCTCCATACCACTTAAAGAACGGTGGCTGAGGGCTAGAAGGCTGGCTCAACATTAAGAGCACATGTTGCTCTTGCAGAGGTCCCACAACCTAACTAACCTACATGGCAGCTCACAACCATTTTAACTACAGATACAGGGGATGTGGTGCCTCTTCTGACCTCCAGGGGCACCAGGCACACACACACACACACACACACACACACACACACACACACGGTGTACACAAATGCAAGCAAAGCACTCATACAAACAAATAAACAGACCGCCAATGAATTTTCAAAAAGAAAATGTTGGGCTGAAGTCCCAGTTCTATACCTCAAGCACAAGAGATTTTTGATACCTAACTGCTCCTCTCTTCAAAGTCAGTATATAGAAGGCTGTTAATCTCTCCCACATAATATCTGTACTTGGAACAACAGAATTTCCTCTTTTTGCTACTCCCCCAGACCTAGGACTTTCAGCTTCACTCCAGTATCTAAGATTTAAAATAAATATCATTTCAAGTTTTGGGTGAGGCAAAGAAAAGTTTTCAGAAGTAACAAATTCAGAACTGATGAGCTGATAGAAATGAAAACTCTTGTTTATCATGCTAAATATTTTGTCAGTCAAAGATAAATCTAGTTAGGCTTGGTGGTCTGTGTCCATATTCCCAACATTTAGGAGGCTGAGGCAGTACTGCTTGAGTTTAAGGTCAGGGTGGGTTACATATCGAGTTTCAGGCCAGTCAGAGCTACCATATAAGATACTCTGTCTCAAGAAATAAGTAAATAAGGCTGGAGAGACAGGTCAGCAGTTTAAGAGCACTAGCTGCTCCTCCAGAGGACCTGGCTTCAATTCTAGGACCCACATGGTGCTAACAACTGTCTGTAACTCCGGGAATCTGATGCCCTCTTCTGGCCTCCTCTGGCACCAGGCGCAGAAAGGGTACATACATAGACATACATGGAGACAAACACTCATACACACAAAAGTAAATCTTTTAAAAAATAATAAATATCCCAACAAAAACAGCATAAGCTCTCAAATAATAAAAAAATGTTATAAATCATGAGGCAATGATCTAACAACCAAAAATTCTCACAACAGCATAAACATAACATATAAAGCTTTTCATCACATGTTTAAAAAGAGAAAGAAAGAAACTGATTTCCAGACATATCTTTTGCATGTATGTATGTTTACTATCTGCCTCAACAGCTTAACAGTACTTTTACTTACTACCTTGTCTGCAGCTTCTCAGAGCACAAATTAAGCTTTACAATATCTCACAGATAAGCCATGCACAACCACATCTATTTCTCCCCCAGATGATTTAGTGATATTAGAGTACATCTTGAACTAATTTAGTGTGGGCATCAATCTAACTCAAAGTCTTAGCTAGCTTCCCAAGCAGTACAATTTTGTAATAATGTATACATTAAATTAATTCACCCTTTCTTCTTTGCAACCTCAGTGTCAGTTTCTATAGAGTACTGAACCAAAGATAATTAATCACAGGCCAATTTCCCTTTGCTAGCAGCTTATTAACTAATATTTTCCATGAGCAAAACCCACTTTCAATTTGACCACAAACTTCATGTCTCGACTTTCTGATCATAACTACTGGATATTCTACAGAAGTGCAGCACATGTCAAATGTAAACACCACTGGAAGAAAAGTATTAAGTTTTCATGAAATGTGTTCTCTGGATTGTAACAATCAACTACCAACCTCTTCTCATACACAAGAAAATTTAAATGCATTAACATTATCTAAATCTTCCAGTAACAAAAACGCAGGCTTCGAAACCAGTTTTCAAACAGCACTAAACATGTCAAGCAAGTCCTTACCATCAACGAAAGGTAAACGGTTCACTGTATTTGCATAATACCACCAATTCTGAAAAAATGATCGCCTAATTTGAGTCTTTTTCTGGCACAACTAACTCTGAGAAGTCCAAAGAGAATACACAAGCACCTGAACGAAACTGTCTTGCGATCAGAAATGAACTCTTGTCAACTCAGCCCCCTTGCTCCTGGCCACCTCCCCGCGATGGCCAGTGGCCCCTTCCACATGCTGACGCACTGCCCAGCCCTGCACCGTTGGCGAGCTGAGCAAAGTACTAGCCCAGTCTCAGAAACTTTGACTCGGTTATCAAGACACCGAGCACCCACAACATGCGCGGGGGTGTGGATGGGTGTCTGTCACGGCCCACGCGGTCAACTTTGAAGCAGGGCATTTCTTGCAGGTAGAGATCAGCCCCCCAAAACAAAAAACAAAAAACAAAACAGTCTACCCCAGACAGTAAAATAAAAGCACAAGCATCGCCAGCAGGAACGGAGCAAAGTGCGCGGGGCGGAGGAAGGGGAAGAGCCAGAGGAGGACACGGGATCCAACAGACGCTTTCAAGGGGGTAAGAAAATAACCCTGTCCACACTCCCCCCGGACCCGGGGTC